TTTCTCTTTCTCTTTCTCTTTCTCTTTCTCTTTCTTTCCCTCTCTCTTTCTCTCCTCTTTCTTCCTTTCTTCCTCTCCTTCTTTCTCTCTCTTTCTCTCTTTTCTCCCTTTCTTTTGTGCAGAATCCAGCTGCCATGGGGTGCAGAGAGGGCTGTGCTCTCCCACGCCGTGGCCAGTGGGCCCGATCCATGTGAAATGCCCCAAGTCCCCGTTGTTTGGGGAGGCACGAGTGCGCACACCTGCTGGTGTTCCGCTCTCTCGCTGTTTCCTAGAGGGTCACTGGCAGCTGCCCTCGTTAACACAGCAACTGGAGCGGGAAAAGCCAGGCCAAACCATCAAAGCCCTCCTTGTCAGAACAAAATTGGGCTTTGTGGCTTTGTTACTTTTGCTTTAAAGTCCTTGGATATAAAGGACAGCATCTTCCCTGGAAAGCATTCCAGGAGCTACAGAATTCACTGCTAGATATTCCCCATATATTCACTTTTTTGGTTTCTTCTCATTACAGTGATCAGTACCACCCCATAGGGACCTAGACAGTTCCTCTCTGTTCTTGATTTGCATCGGATTACTGTAAACATTATTTTGCTCCGTTTTAGATACTGCCTTGCCAAGTTTTACATTCCTGCATGTTTATAGGGATCTTTTCTCGCCCTTAATCACTTCTCCTCCTCTCTTTAAACTGAGCTCAGATTTGCTGGCGTTCTGCTGGGGTTGACCTTCTCTCCTCCAGATGCAGCATTTCAGATGGACTCCTACAAATGCCACCCAGAGCAAGGTTACCAGACATCCATGTTTCCCTTGGAAATAACCCTTTTTTTTTTCCCCCGTAAGAAGTATTGTCTGCTCGGAATTGGAGGATTTTGTCTATTTGTCTGGGATTTTCAGGCATCTGGAAGTCTGGGCAATGAACTAATGAGCCTGCACTGCTGAACTCGGCAGCGCGCAGCGAGTGCCACCCGGGCACAGAAGCCTCAGGCCCCTCCGTGTGCCCTGGGGATGAGTGCCACGTGTGCAGGGATCCACGGTGTGCGGATCCGCTGGCACGGAGGAGACCTGGAGCTGTCGGAGCCGGAGAGGGGTCACCCCAGGGCTCTATCTCTCCTGGTGTGTGGGTGTATGTGGGTGTATGTGGGTGCATGAAACGATACCTGAAAAACAATTCATGCCCTAGAAATCCCTTAGAAACATCACACTCTTCCTGACACAGAGGTGAGCTCAGGGCCATCTTCCCTATTTTAGGATACTGTGTGTCCCGTACTAGAAAAATGCCCTGTTAAAAATGCTCTGTATTTGCAGCTGTATTGCTGCCTCCTTCCCTAGCGTTTTTGATTGCTCACTCTTATCTAAGCTACTTTTTCTCCCCGATGGCCAGTGATCAATATTACCATTCCTGAATTACTCAGTTTTCCCCTAATGGTTTAATAGCAATCAAGAAGGGAAGCTAAAGAGTTTAATAACTCTACAGCTTTTTTCTTCAAAAGGGAGAAGCATTTCCCGGAATGCATCAAGGAAATATAATGAGAAGTGATGGGGGGAAAACAAGGGAAGGAAGATTTCCTTACAGGCAGCTTTTAAGTAGAGTCTGGCAACAATCTCCCAAAGGAAGCAGAGGAAGTCTGGTCACTTAAATCAATTAAAACTAAACAGAGCATCACACTCTACAGGACTCTGTAGGGATAAGAGCAGTGTCAGACTGAACTAAAATAAGGTTTGCATGGTTATTTTCTACCAAGCTGTTGTCTGTATTTTGCCAGTAAATTCAATCTGGCTAATGCTGATTAACCTCTCTTTTGGTGGTGATTATATCATTGCTTTATTCCCAGGCCATTCTTGAGTGCCATTAAGTCAGGAGGGCACAGAGATATGAAACACATCCCTGGCTTGACTAGCTTAGTCTGGAGAACAGTTTGTAGATTGACAGGGATAAGTTGGAGCTTCACACGGGCTTCTCTTCCAGGGCACGAGGGCTTGGGCTGGATGGCATCGTGGTGCTGCTCTAGTGCAAAACTCCACATTCAGTGACAGGAATGGGCAATGGTACAAGTTGAAACCCAGACAGCTCCATCTCCATGTGAGGAGGAACTTCTTCACAGGCTGCCCGGGCAGGCTGTGGAGTCTCCTTCTCTGGAGATCTTCCAAACCTGCCTGGATGCCACCCTGTGCCCCGTGCTCTGGGTGTCCCAGCTGGAGCAGGGGGTTGGACTGGATCATCTCTAGGGGTCTCTTCCCACCTCGGCCCTTCTGTGGCTCTGTGGTTCTGTTGTGCCCTGAGGGTGCTGAGCCTGTGTCAGCACCGCGGCCGCGGGAGCAGCGGAGCCTCCAGTGCCTGAAGACTTGGGTTGCTCTAGAGTGACTCTTGTGCCACGTGGCTTAGGTAGGGCTGCAGTATTCATGTCCTTCACTAGGTGCCCAGGAGGCTTTTGAATGCCTACCAGACCAGCCGGTGACACTAGCAAGACAAAATAAAGGGGTGCCCCAGGCTCAGTGGTTTTCCAGCAAATACCCAGGAGGGTCCTCGGCTGCCCCCTTCTCTGGCACCTGCAGGGCAGCCAGAGGGTGGAGGGTAACGGGGAGAAGGCGTCCGAGGAGCCAGGGCTCGGCTTTGCTCCCCTGGCCTCCGTGGGCTCCGCTCGGCCTTGCATGCACAGCTCATCTGTTCTCTGTGTGGTTGTTCTTCAGCTTTCACACGAGTGTTGCGGTAGGAATGGGTATGCAGGAGTAATGCAAACGAGCATAGGACAGGAGAGCAGGGACTGCGGATGAGCTGGGACGAGGTGCCCTGTGGAGGATCCCACAAACTGACCTGTCTAGCTGACTGTTAATTTGCATGGAAGATTAGATTTTGAAGGATATAAATAGAGGAAAATGGGCATTCTGTTTATGATGGGAGGCGAGGAAAATAGAATAAACTGAGATTGTTGTCGCCAAGTGCTTTACCCCTGCTGCAAAAGGTGTCTGTCACTTGTAAGTGAGGGCCATTACATCAGAGAAACCTTCCCTTTCCTTTTGCAAACACGGAGCAACTTGGTTTCCCTCACTGTTTCCACTGGGATGTGTCAGGTTAAATCCTTCCAAAAGGCTCTTGTTGCCCCTTGCTGCAGAAGGGACTGCGATAGGTGCAGCTGCGAAACCTTCCCCTTCCAAACGTGCGGGTTTGTGAGCGCTCCCAGCCTTGAATTCCGCGGTCCTCGGCGGGAATTACACGCAGGGAGTCCCAGAGCCGGCAGGGCTGAGGCAGCGCAGCCGCCGGGGAGGCCGAATCAGTATTTAGGCAGGTTCAGGCTGCGGGGTTTAACGCATGCCCTGAGCTTTGCCTGCGTTTGTACCAGAGTTACTGCGGATGCAGTTTGAAGCACTGGCCCCGCGTGGAGCCGCTCCAGAGGCGCCTCCCGAGGGCAGCCCTTGGAGCCAGCAGCGCTCCTTGCTGCCCTTGGAAAGGCGCCTCCCTCCCCTGGGCCTGTGTGAGCGCTGCTGGGCGCCCCGTGTTGGGCACCCTGTGTTGGGCACTCCGCTGTTGGGCGCCCCGTGAGGAGGGCCGAGAGCCGCGGGGGGCACGGGCCCGTGTTTGGTGAGCGCCGGCGTCGCCGTCCTTGGCGGCCGCGCGTCGCATCCCCGCGCCATCCCCGGGCCTGCTCCGGACGCCTTCGGCACCGAGCGCAAGTCGCAGGTGTCTTGGCGCTCTCTGTTACTGTTCAGTATTGGGACCAAAGAACTGAGTCCACCGGGGGAGACCGCCTTGCACCCGAGACATAGGGGGCCCTTGGAGAGGCCCCAAGGGCCGTGGGGAGGCAGCCCGAGCCCTAACCCGGCACGGAGCCCCATCCCATCTGCTTTGCTGCCATTCCACCTAGCGGCCAAGAGACACCACTGCCAGGGGAGGCCGTTCTTCATTCCACAAAATCCCTGTGGCTCAGAAGGCACTTAAAAACCTCAGGCCGGTATTTATGACTGCCTTGGCAGACCCACGTTGCTGCTGAGTGTACAAGATGTGCAGCAGTATGTAGGGCCCTGTCCTGAAGATATTACCGGGGCAGAGCGTTGCCCTGCGAGCAGCTCATTACGTCTCGGAGCAATTTTCTTAATCATGCAGCATAGATAAAACGTAGATAGGCTTTCAGCAGATTGATAATCTCACAAATAGGCAGAAAGTGTAACACCGATAAAGCAGAGATCCTTTTAATAGCCAGCTGTAAATCTGGGCAATTCTGCACCAGAGGCATATTGTAAAACAGGAATGTGCAAGTGTGTAAGTACGTGCATGAAAATGTGCTGCTTCTTAAAATAGCGGATGCAGCAGTAATAGTATGTATGGAAAAGCTACGGGGAGCGATTTTAGAGGTGTTTTAAAATATTTTTCTCACCATCGAAGCCTGCGCCATTAGCGGTATCTTCATAGCTTAGCATCACAAGTACAGATTTGTGAATAACAGTGGCTTGTTTCTAGAAGCCAAGATTTGTATGGAAATCCGTGATCCCCACTGCTGATCCTGGAAGTGTAAGGAATTCATAGGCTGTGATGACCCAAACTGTGCAGGGAGATGTCTGCTGTTCATGTTTCAGACCATCGTGAGTTCCCAGTTTCATACCTCACCAAGGTACGAGGTTGAGCAGCCTGTATGTACCCAAGGCCAGTTGCATGTGTGCTGTGGGGAAGAGGTGCCTCAGCGCTGTGTTCATGCTGGCCACCAGCTCTGGCACAGCCCAGCAGGAGCAGCTTACACTCACCTGTGCTTTCAGCTTGTTCTTGCAGCTTAGTGCAGAGGCCTCCGAGTTATTCAGGCAAAATACTGTTCAGCTCAACCCATACAGTGATCACCTGAAAGTCAGCAGCACGAGTTAGTGGTTATAAACCGCGATAAACATGATAGAAGAATACTCGGTACTATCTTTATTTCTGAATGCTGGATTTGCTAGAGTGCCTTAAAACACTGATGAAGGGCTTGGGATGATGGCGAGAGCTGCTAGTAATGCTGGCAATGTCCCCCTTTCTTTTTCTGCAGGTCACTGTCAGGGGATTTGGTCCGTTGTTACAGTTTGCCTACACTGCTAAGCTGCTCCTCAGCAGAGAAAACATCCAGGAGGTCATCCACTGCGCCGAGTTCCTGCGCATGCACAACCTGGAGGATTCCTGCTTCAGCTTCCTGCAGACACAGCTGCTGAACAACGAGGATGGCCTGTTCCTGTGCAAAAAAGACCCCGCCTGCCAGCGCATGCACGATGAAGAGAACTCGGACGGAGACGAGGAGGAGACCATGGAATCGGAGACGTCAAAAATATCTTGCCCAAGAGAGAGAATGCACCAAGAGCCCTTCAATTTTGAAACCACTGTTTCTGGAGCAGACAAAGGAGAGGGGATGCTGCCTGACTCTGACATGCTGAGAGATAGCAAGGACAATTTGGACAAGGATGCAGTGACACGGTACCCCAGATACAAGAAATACCAGCTTGCTTGTACCAAGAATGTCTACAACACATCACACATCAGTACCTCAGGTTTTGCAAGCACATTCAGCGAAGAGAGCTCTGGAAACGGCCTCAAATCAGGACTTGCTATGGGGCAGATAAAAAGCGAGCCTCCGAATGAAGAGAACGACGAAGAAAGCATCACCCTTTGCCTGTCTGGAGATGAACCTGACATCAGGGATAAAGAAGGGGATGTTGAAATGGACAGGAAACAGCCAAGCCCCACTTGTGTTGACAGGCCTAAAAGTGGGTCCTCTCCTTCTTGCTTGCGCTCTTTCTTCAACAGAACAAAAAGCATAGATTTGGTTGGCTTCCCTGGCACTTCCCAGCAGCACTTTGGCAGGAGTCCAGCATGCCCTTTTGAAAAGGGGACAACTCAGGGTGACCACAAAACTGATTACGTCCCTTTCACGGGGAGCTACGGACAGTCCCATGCCATTCCGAAGGATGCTTCCAACTTCACGGTGGGCTCGCCTCTCAGGGGGCCTGGCTTTGAAGCTCTCTGCAAGCAGGAGGGGGAGCTGGACAGGAGGAGCGTTATATTCTCTTCGAACGCTTGTGACCAAGTGAACACTTCGGTGCATTCGTATTCCGGCGTGAGCAGCTTGGACAAAGACCTCACTGAGACTGTGCCAAAGGGTCTGTGGGCTGGCAGCAGCCAATCTCTCCCTGGCTCTCAGACCTATTCCCACAGCGGGCTGACAGCTGATCACTTGCCGGGACGGATGCGGCCCAACACCAGCTGCCCGGTGCCAATTAAAGTCTGCCCTCGCTCGCCTCCTCTGGAGACCCGGACCAGGACGTCCAGCTCGTGCTCTTCCTACTCGTACGCGGAGGACGGCAGCGGCGGCTCGCCCTGCAGCCTGCGCCTCTGCGAGCTCTCCTCCTCGCCCTGCTCCCAAGGGCCGCGCTTCCTGGCGCCCGAGCACCAGGAGCCCGGCGGCGTGGGCGACGGGATGTACAACCCGGTGCGAGCCCAGATTAAATGTGAGCCATCCTATGGAACAAACTCCAGCGATGAGTCTGGGTCATTCTCAGAAGCAGACAGTGAATCATGTCCTGTGCAAGACAGAGGGCATGAGGTAGGGATTTCAGATAAGTACATGTATGACAGTCGTTGCCACCCGATTTTATCACCCCCTTTTGTTCTCTCAAGTGACTTGGCGGTTTCCCAGCCCTCGCTTTGTTTGTAGAGGCAAAGAGTGATTTCTATTTATTCCCTCGTCAGCTGACTGCGTGTGGCTCGCTTTGCATAAATAGCTGTTTGACCTCCAAAATTGTTTGGCACTTATCAGAATTTCAGTGTTGGGCAATAGCAAGCTGCTGAGTGATGAGGGCGAACTTGACGTGCTGGGGAATGTTAACAGGGGCCTCCTGGCCTCCCTCTCCTTACCTGCCGGCGGGGACCGTTTTTCACCCGTAGTGTGCTGAGGTGGTTGCAGTCACACTTGTTTTTGTTGTTGCTGTTACGTGACAGCGACCCGAAGCTGTGCCCTCCCTTGGGCAGGCCAGCCTGTGCAGGAGCTGCCCACGGGCTGAGGAGAGGAGACAGCGTGGGAGGAGGCAGAGGTGTGAAAGGAGGTTGGCCTCAGCCCTGGGAGTAGCACACAAATGGTGTGTGTGTTTGTGTCTGGGCAGGTAAGGGGTTTGCCTGTCTGTTCACTGACAGGTGAGGTGCTGTTTCCTGATTGACCCCTCTCCTTTCCTAGGAGTGTCCTGGCATCACCTTGCACAAGGTGGTTCTGAGTGGAGTTGTCCCTTGGTTGGGGGGCTCTGGCTGAAGATCTCGTCCCTGTGTCAGAGCACAGTGTGTGCTGGATTCTCCTTCACAAGGCGCCCGATAGGAGAGCTGGGTTTGGGTGCCCAGCCTTGCAGAGAGCCCCTTGGGCCCTTCTGCGGCGGGTGGCTTTTCCTGTTGGTGGGAGCGAGCTGGCCAGACTCCAGCCTCCGTTATCTCCCATAGCTCCCGACTTCCCTTGGAGTTTGGACCTTGCTGGTCTTGACCTGGTGGCTCTCGGTGCTGGAACGAATGTCACAAAACGTGACCTGCCGGTAAACTGGTTGTGTGTGAAGTAGGGGAAAGGCCTCCTCCCGCCGCGTTTCTGGGGAACACTGCTTCCCTGTGGGTCAGAGCCGCTGGGGAGCTGGTGCCGGGATCGTTTGGGAACAGCCGTGGGATTGGGGACTGGCCGTGACTCAACACGAAGGCCTTGGGGGCGCCGGTGGCCACGCTGTGCAGCCGGTCACCGCCTCCTGTGCAGGGAGCAGGCTGGACCCGTGAGTGTCCGAGGAGGGGACAGCCCAGGGGGCACCGCCGACGCAGCCTCTCCGGGCAGCCTGGCTGCTCCTTTCTCCGCCTTCTAGAGGAGCCACCCAGACTCGGCTGAAATTTGTCTTTTTAAGCGCTTTGTGATAGAAGAAGCAGGTGCAATTTCAAGTGTCCCCATCACGGTGTTGCACATTAACAGCAGTGGGGCTGCTGTTTGAGCTCCTGGGGATTCACAGAACTGTTTAACACAGTCACCCCTTTCACACAGTTTAACACAGTCGCCCTAATAGCTGTTAAAAAGCAACTCTTGGGATATAATCCTATGGAGAAGGCTTAACACTCGGCAACTCGCAGGCAGGTTCTGACAATCCTGCTTAAAATAGCAGCAACAAAACAATAAGCCCTGAAATAATGAATTGTTGAGAAGGAAGTAGACTGTCAATCTGTTAACCTACTTAGGAACGGAAACTTCAGCACTACCTGCTTTTCTAGATATTTATTTTCCTCAGTAGGTATCTGTTTTTTTTTTTCTTTTTTCGCTAGAAAACTAGTTTAAAAATGTGTAATGCTGGATCACTTTAAAAGAAATCTCAACTTAGTCTACTTTGGTGGCAGAGTTTTCTTGGGAAAAGAATAAACAAGGGTAGGAGGAGGTAAGAGGCTGAGCTTTCCAAGAACTATTATTACCTAGAGAATTGCATTCAATGCATCTTTCATTTATATTTCAGAAGAAAGCGGCACTGGCTTAATGACTCACTTTTCAAAGAAAGATTTCATAAAGGTAGAGCTAATGCGAGTGGACTGTTGAGGATATTGTAGGGAAGTAACCTTGAGGGAGAGTCTCAAACCCTCTGTGTTAAGCAGCAGGTTAAGCAGCTGCCCTCTCTCTGCTGCTCTGTTGTCTGCTGACAAAGTCACGCGCTCCAGAGCCCCAGCAGGGCAGAACAAGAACCTGGATCGTCTGGAACAGGACCGAGGTGCCTAAGCCAAGCCTTGATGCTGAGTATTTCTGCTCAGTGGAAGATACTATGTAAAAAGAAGGACAACTAAGGAAAGTATATTAGAGCCTTAACTTGCTTTCATATGTAGTTCCAGCCTAGAGTTTGGTGACAGGAGCCCCAGTTTCCCTGACTGGATTCAGTCCTCGTGAATGGGAAAACGAAGAAATTACTTTCCCTGTTCTTCTCCAGGAGGCACCACTGGGAATTGTGCTCGGCACCATCTGGTTAGACAGTGTCGTGTCAAGCCTTGTTCCACAGGATGGACCTCGTGGCGGCCGTGGCATTGCTTTCCTCTCTCCCGCTAGCAGCAGTGGCATCCAGGCAGGTAGCTGGGAATTACAGTGGTGAGGGTTTAAATGGCAATCCTGACATTTCTGGAAGGCCCTTTAAGCGTTTGTCCTGCAGCCTAAAAGCAGTTCTGTTTTGCCCGGAACAGAATGGGCCAGCTCTCACTGGAGAGCTTGAAGTCCTCTTTCCATTTCACAGAATCACAGAATCACAGAATCACAGCATATTCAAGGTTGGAAGGGACCTCTACAGATCATCTAGTCCAACCTTCCTGCTCAAGCAGGCACACCTAGAGCATGTGGCACAGGGCGGCATCCAGGCGGGTTTTGAAGACCTCCAGAGTAGGAGACTCCACAACCTCCCTGGGCAGCCTGTTCCAGGGCTCTGTCACCCTAACAGTAAAGAAGTTGCTCCTCACCTGGAGACGGAAATTCCTGTGCTCCAGCTTGTGGCCATTACCCCTCGTCCTGTCACTGGCCACCAGTGAAAACAGCCTGTCCCCTTCCTGCCCATATTCTCCCTTCCTGAACTTATACACATTTATCAGATCCCCTCTGAGCCTTCTCTTCTCCAGAGAAAACAGGCCCAGCTCACTCAGCCTCTCCTCGTACAAGAGATGTTCCATTCCCTTAATCATCCTGGTTGCCCTTCTCTGGACCCTCTCGAGAAGATCCACATCCCTCTTATACTGGGGAGCCCAGAACTGCACACAGTACTGCAGGGGCGGCCTCACCAGAGCTGAGGAGACGGGCAGAATCACCTCCCTTTCCTGCAACATTTCCTACAAAAGCAGATTCCTCAGCAAAATATTGTGCTTCATCCCCCTCCATGGCCCTGCCTGATCTCCCCTTCTCCAGGGCACGTGTGGCTGTGCTCAGCTGTTCTGTACTTGTCCTGTTCTCAGGAAAGCTGGTTAATGTCGGGGGGTTGTCATACCCATTGTGTGGATGAAAATTGGGGAAACGAATCCAACAATTCAAAGCACCGACTGTCTTGCTAAGGGGAAGAGGTTGGGGCAGAGTTTTAAGCACCAGTAGCATGTGATCTGCATCCATGGGCTGAAGGATGAGACCGTGCTCCAAGTGTCCCACTCGCTGGGTTCAGCACCGTAGCCAGGAGGTGGCCCCGTTACTCCCAGTTCTCCGAAGCACATGGTGAGCTTGTAGGTCCTTGTGTGCAGAAAGGCTGCATCTGCAGGGAGGTGCTAAGGAAGAAGTGCTTCCTAAGGCAAACGGGCATCATTCGTTAGATACTACCCTGTCCTTTAACAGCTTGGCTTCTAAGATGACTCTCAGGATTGGGAAGTTCTCTCTTCTTCCTGTTAGCTGATAGAATTGCACGTGGCAGGAGATACTGGTTTTAACCAGCTGTTAGAAGAAGGTGCAGCGGGTGCTGTACAAGCAGAGCCTGTTGCTGACGAGCACAGCTCATTGCTGTGCAGGGCAAACAGGGCCCAGGTGCTGATGCAGCTCCCACCTGCTGCCGGAGGCTGGGCTCATTCCAGGGGCAGGGAATGTGATTTCCATGTGCTCCCGTGACCCTGGGGAAAGAGTTAGCAGGTGTCCAGGCCCAAAACTGTCTCCCCCATTGTGATGTCGAGGAACCACTTTCACCGACCAGTGCCTTGCAGTGTGGCATGACTTAAGCTCCAGCCTGCTGACGAGAGGGAACGATCCACGGATTCCCCCGGCCGTCTCTGCCGAGCTGCACAGCAGCCTGCCTGCTGGCAGCATTTATGGGCCTGGACACCCCTCAGGAGGTGAGGCTGGAGCTGGCTCCAGGTGGATACATGGTGGTCAGTCCTGCTGGTGGGACACCAGTGGCCTGGAGAGGAGGACTGTTCCCCCCGGCTCCCTGACCCAGCACTGCTGCTTGGGCTCACCACCGCCCTCCTGCAGTCCCCTGCCAACCTCACGTAAGCATCACGTGAAGATAAGAGGTCAGTTTAGAAGGCTTTGCCAATTCCAAGAAGCCGCAGGGTGAGGAGACCAGTGAGCACATCCTCCCTGACCCCTTTGGGTCGTTATCTGACCAAGGTAAGCCAGGTACCTTTGCTCCTGCAAGGGCAGCTGCATAGGAGCAGCTTATCTGCTGCTTCGGTCCCATGGCAAACCCGAGTCTGGTCACGTGGAACAAGAGCAGCAAAGTTTGCTTCCCTGCTTGTGCTTCCCACTGACCGTGGGAATCCTGACTTGGTGTCTGGGCCTCTCTCTGCTGTTGTTCTGTAGAGGTGGGGGATGTCTGTCTTGCTCTGTACCTTTGGGAATGTTGGTGGCTTCCAAGGTGTATTCATATTCCAAGGAACAGGAATGCATTAATCGAGCCTGGGCATCATCACAGTACATGCAATAAATCCCAACAGCCAAAGAGCCTATTGCCATCCATCCCAAGCAGCCAGATCGGGATCTCTCGTTCACTAGAACAAACGTGACCCAACGAGAAAACCCGGGTAGGGAAGGGGAGGTTGCTGGCAGCACCAGGGGCAGAGCCACTTGCCATAGAAGGTGACTGGATTTTCAAGTTCATAATTCAAGTTGCCATGGACTGGAAGAAAGACTTGCATACTAAGGAAATCTCTGGGGAAAAAACACAACCAACCAAAACAAAACAAAGCACAGCGTTGGGCCCTGCTGTGTGGAGCTAGTTACCCTTTCCACATCAAAATAAATGGCTATTATTCAGCCCCTATCTTACATTTCTGGGGCGAGTCATGAGTGCTTTCCAAGCACTAGGCAATTTTAAGTGTCAGACTTTCAATTGCTCTGGCTTTCAGTTTAAGAGCCCTAAGGCAACAATTTTATTTGTTACAACTCTAGAGGAAATGATCAGGCCATTTTAAAGGTGTAGTTGGTGCATTGAGTCCTGCCCTCCCTCACCCCATACGTAATGATTACCTTTTCCAGTGGATGATGTATGCATCCTTTACTTGCTGTGATGTTCAGCCAGGCTTGGGAAGTTCAGTTTCTTTACTACCACATCTTTTAATATATATATATTTGGCAAGTCAAGGAAGATGATGTTGAAATTTAGTTTTAAAGAAACAGTGAAAAACGTTAACGTGGCTCAGGAGATAAGAAAATTCCAGACGCCTGACGCTCATATCGAGACAACGTGGGTCTCTGCTGGGCCTTGCTCCTTTTTATTCCTCTCCAAAAGAGAGGGGAGAGGGCAGCAGCAGCAACTAGTGCCGAATGTGAACGGCAGAGCAGGAAACGGCCTAAACTCACTAGTGAAGTTTGAAGGAATTGATTTGCTTCTATACGGGCCCTTCATGAGCTGTGTCGGCGGCTGCCCCTGTCTCGGGTCGATCACTGCTACCACTGCTGGCCATTCAAAATCATGACATTTACACTTGCATCCTAATGCCAATGCGGGGAAGGAATGCTGGAAGATCCCGAGCCGGTCTTCTCTTTCACCAGGGTGGGTGCCCGTCCGCCTGAGAAGGGCATCGGAGGTCGCAGCAGGAGCACCTAGTGCCGCCCTGTGCTGTGGGGTGGGAGCGGGGCTCTGCGCCCGGGACCAAGGGCAGGGAAAGAGGGATCCTGCTCGCAGCGAGTGGCTGAGAACCTGCGTCGTCTGTGCCCTTAGCTCTGGCTGGAATAACTCATGAAAGGAATAGGAGTCCTGCCTGCATTTCCCATTTGAAATAGCCCTATATAAAATCTGAAAAAAAAAAAAAAAGAAAAATTCTGAAAAAGAGATGTTCAGGAGGACACCCACCTTTTATTTGTTTGGGAGTCTGTGTGTTTTATGCCCATTGGAGCAGCCTGGGTGTCCTTTCCCGGAGGCACCCCGGGTGCTCTCTCCCTCCCCAGCCTTCCGTGTCTCAGGCGCAGGGGCCTCCTCCCTGGGGACACGGAGAGGGACAAGCCAGGGACAAGCCAGGCGGGATGGATGCGCTGCTCCCGGAGGGCCTTTCTCCGCCCGCAGCGGGAGCCTGGACACGGCCAGGGCCGGGCCCGGATTCAGGCAGCTCCAGGCAGACCGAGGAGTCCCCCCATGATGGGGGTGACTTTTTCTTTCCCTCCCCTCTTCTGTATGAATCTGTTTCCATTTATTTTCCCATTTCCCTTCAGCTACTTGTACCCGACAGATCTAGGTAGGTTCTGTTTCATTCCCACTCAAACTGCAAGCCCATTTCCTGCGCTCGCAAGTAAATATATTTTGAAGGCGGGGAGAGGAAGAAATAAAGCTAACATTGCTTTCAGCTTTGGAGCTAAGAAAACAAGGAAAAAGACAGCAGCGAAAGGCCCCTTTTTGCAGCAAAACTGTGGTGTCTTTCAGAGGACCCTACGGGCTGTTTTCATTCTCGGCCCCGGCCGCAGCTTGAGGGGAAACCAGATGACCCCAAGTTCATGTTTGTTGGCCATAGGGCAGCTCCAACGGGTCCCCTGCCGCCCCACAGCCCGGAGTAAACAGGGCAGGCCACATCAGCGTGTCCAAGGCCGGCGTCTGGGGCCTTCGGGCCGCGTTTGCCGGGGAGTTTTGCCGCTCTCTGTTGACCCTGGCAGCGCGGGGGGCTCCCCTGAGCGGGCCCTGTGCAACAGCGTGGGGTGCTGGCATGGGGTGCCAAGTGACATTACCTGCTTGCACTGCTAACCCCTGCCCTTGCTTTCTGTACGTCCACGCGATTTAAACGCACCCTTCTGAGGCCCAATAACCTCCTTTAAAATATCAAAGGAACCTTTTCGACCAGGCTCTTTTGCTTGGCTGGAGAAATTCAGTGTATTTTCTTTGGTAGTCTCTGTACAGAATAGTCTCCTTGTTCAAACAGCGATTGGATTGTACCAAATCAGGGCAGAAATGCAAATATTTACTGCCATCTTTCGGGCAGTGTGGGTATGACACACAAAAAGTGAAGACGAGTTTAGTTATTATCTTCTCCTTCTGCTTTGTCAGATAATCATCATTTGATCATCAAATACAGCATCCATCCAGGAACACTACTGTTTTCGTGGTCGTATTATCTATATCAAGCTACAAGAGAAGCAGGGTGTGTTGGGCAAGGGTGTCTCTTTACTAAGATACTGATAGATTTGGGGAAAAAAAAGCCAACAAACAGGAGTGTTTCAGCACATCAGCCTTTCTGCAGGCCTTGAGAAAGTTGGCATTGATTGTTCCAATTTTTTGCTTTGCTTTAATGCCTAGTCAATAGGAAATCAAAACTTGGTTGGCTGTTCATGGACAGGAGGAAGAATGTCTTACTGCGGATTTTAGACTATTTCTTTTACAAGAAATGCATCTCTGTTCACTCTCCACAGGTACCAAAATTTTAGAAAATACTGTTTCATTTCAACGCATCTAATTTTAGGAGGGTAAAATATTCTTCTTCACACTGCTCCGACCCTTTCTTTTGATGTGTCACCCTGCTTATTTGACATGCAGGTTGTGGGCCCTGTCTTCACTGCAGCGTGGTGTTTTTCAGGCACTAGAGGTGCCTGGATGCATTTTTAAGCTCACACCTAATCAAGCTCTCAGTCCTACAGGCCACGCAGAGACAGGTTTCCTGCTGCAGTATTAGCTCATTTCTTGAAATGACTTTGAAATCTGTAGCAAGGAGGCACTTCCCTGTTTCCAAAAGGCTCTGTCGCTTCGTGGCTGCAGTGTCATTTCAGTGGAAGGAGATCTCTTACCAGAGCTGCTTGGAAAGAGGCAATTTTTACCCGGGATTCACCTGTGGCTTTGGTTTCAGTGTCATTACTCTCATCCTTACCAACTGGTCCTCACCATGTGCCACAAGAGAGTGGTAAAGACTTGTTCTTTGGAAAGCCCTCTATGTGCTGTGTGTTTAGGGGATGGGAGCCCAGCAAAAAATCCTTCTGCTGAGCATTGTTCAGCTTGCATTCAGCAAGCAAACCATGACTCTGTGTTTGCTCTTGTCTTGTATTTGTTTGTTTTAGGTGAAACTTCCTTTTCCTGTCGATCAAATCACAGATCTTCCAAGGAATGATTTCCAGATGATGATCAAGATGCACAAGCTAACCTCAGAACAGCTAGAGTTCATCCACGACGTGCGCCGGCGCAGTAAGAACCGCATCGCAGCCCAGCGCTGCCGCAAGAGGAAACTGGACTGCATCCAGAACCTCGAATGTGAAATCCGCAAGCTGGTGAGTGCCACGGGGCCCCTCGGCAGCCCCCAGCCCCCCGGAGGTCCTGCAAAATATTCCTGCTCGGCGGGGGGCAGTTAGTTCACGTGCAGCCTGGTGAACCCTCTAAGACAAATATGTAATCGATAGAAGTGTATTAGTTTGTGTGTGGAGAGAATAGAGATGGGAAATTGGAAATTCCGGTGAGGCGAAGCCTAAGTATGCTTTGCTGTTTCGAAATATTCTGCTATTTGCAAAGGAGGTGGTTGAGTGAGGTGGAAGCTAAGGGAAGCCTGTGTCACAGCTCGCTCTCTTCTTGCATGTTTTTCAGTAATGAAAGAAGGTTTAATGGTGCATCCACAATGGCACTTCTTCATCCATACCCTACTTACATTCCCAACTGCCATCTCAAAAATTTTTGATAGGATTCATAGAACCCTTCGGATTAGCTGTAATGGGACCCTTGGAGGTCATCTGGTCCATCCTCTTGCTCTAGTAGGGCCAGCTTCATCTCCACGTTGAGCTTTCTTTCTCCTTGGTGTGCTAGAGGGCGGCTCTTTTGTGTTTGAGCTTTATGTGCCTTCTCTTCAGCTCTTTCATTCAGTGGAGAAATGACAAGGGAAATGGAAAAGTAAACAGTGTGAATATGCAGACAGGTGGCACTCAGGAGGTTTCGAGCAGCAAGATGGCAAGGATGTCCTCCTCCTTGCCCCTGCTGTCTTCTCCCTCCCTCTGACTCTCCTGGTGCCATGGAGCAAACCCCACCAGAGTTGAGGTGATGGCTGTTGGTTTGCCACAAGCCTACTTGACAAGTGTCTCTGTCAGTAGAAGTGAACTCCATAGAGGACTGGGCTTAGAGGACTTGGCCAAGAGCTTATGGGGAAGGGTCTCCTCTGTACCAAGGTGCTGCTATTGGTGCTCCCACATTTTAATCTAAGGAGGTGAGATAATATAAGCAAGTTTAAATGGCAGCTCAGAAAAATCCTCTCTTTACTTATGGAATGGACAACTCAGGTGTTGCTTGTGTGGCTGAATGAAGATATTCACAGTGCTGGGATAGCTGGATCCAGCAGATGACACGTGGCTAGGGGCAGTCTTCTAAGCATGGAGAAGAGCGGCAGCCGTGTCATTGCCTCCTACACAAGAGTGACTTGCCAGCGAGGTACAATGAGAAGGTGGCTTAGCTGCTTGGTAGCAGGCGTGCAGGATCGTGTCCACGAGGGAAACACGCAGCTGGAGGGACACAGCACTGGGATTTCAGGGTGGGTTGATATCTCCTAAGCTGTTTGAAAGCCCTGAGAGCTTTCCAAGACATCAAAATAATGTAAGAGTCTCAGTTTGGCCATTACAAAAGGTGTGGCTGTGCAGTGCATGGGACAGGAAGCTTTAATTTCACTGTGCAGTATGAATTTAGGAGTCCAGCATTGACTCCTAAATATGTAAGAGTTTGAGTGATGAATGTATTTATTCGCACAGATTTAAAAAAGAAAGAAAAAACACATAGCCAAGGCTGATTTCCATGCCAACAGAGATTGTTTGCACACCCAGCTTCCATTAAAATTAAAGATATTTTCGAACCTTTGGCTTAAATGTTTATATGAACATTTGAAATATGCTCAGCTGTAAGTTGAATGCAGTGGGTCTGCAAACTGGGGCACTTCTAGTTCCTGCGATAACAGGTTGCATCTTGAAAGTAGCTTTTCAAGAAGACTTCATTTTACTTTGTTCTCTTCTCAAGCTGTAGCAAACACAGTGTGAAAGAGGCAGGAATCAGTTGGAAGGAGCTGAGTTGTCGACACCCCACAAATGCCACAAGGCTGTGCGTTCCTGCTTCCCATCTGGAAAAGAGCGGTGACACCAACCCTTAAGCTGGTTGGGAGGCTTAGACCATCAGGGCTTATGAAGTTTTCAAGTGCTGTGGTGCTGAAATCCAGGGGAAAAAAAAAAACAAAAATATTTGTTTGCATTCTTCAGAAAAAGAAATATTTTTCATAGCGGTGCTTGACTGATTCAAAACAAACAAAACATCAAAGATGATAAACAAAACATTGAGTAACTGTTTCCTTCTTCAGACATCATCCACAACATGTACTAGATGAGTCAGAGGTTTTTTGGGGTGGGAAAGAGGTTCCTGATCACGGCTGCCAGAAGAAGCAACCTCAGTCGTAGCTGTGGGTGCCTGTGTCTGTGCACTGAACTCATGTCTCGGTGCAGACGAGCACGTGTCTCTCACTGGCCTTACGGCTGAGCTGTAAGGAACAGCCACACGGGGTTGCACCAGCCTGGGCTTGTGCAGTTTGAAACACACACCCTTCCCATACTGGTGTGCGTTCATTTGGCCTATGGCATCCGGGGAAATGACCGTTATTTAATATAACTCACTGTGTATTAAAAAAAAAAAAAAAAAAAAAAAAGGAAAAAAAAATACTTTTCAAGTCCCCTTCTGCCCCTAACGCACAGACATCCCTGCAAAAGGAGTGCAGGGCATAGGAGTGACCTTGAGAGCCCCTCTCTGCCAGCTTTCAGGAATCTCGAGCCCTGAGAGGGTGGGAGACATCATAAGAAATGTGATTTCTTTCTGCTTGAGGATGGAGCGGAATGGGATCCGGCAGCCTCTGGAAAAACAAAAATAGCTGTAGAAGTGAAACAGTGGTGGCGTGGGTTAGGGAGAATGGGAAGGCATTAAACAAGCTGACGGGACCTCAGCTTCATCTCTGCAGCACTCTGGCTCTTTCCCCCTACAAATTCTGCCCCTGCTTCAGGATCTTAATTTCTCTCAGGAGAAGCAGCAGCAGCAGCAGTGCATCTGCAGGTGACTTGTCATAACACATTGCCACTGGAATCCTTTTGTCGTCTTCTGTCCACTTTGTGAGCAGCAATATCCAGTCTCCTTCATTATTCAGAGCTTAAGGGTTTTCGGCTTTGTTGCAGGAAGGGGTGAAATACCCTTTTCCACACTGCCTTAATTCCTGTAAGTCACCTGTCTTCTTGACACAGATGGCTTTTGAGCAGACAGTGAATGAAGCGGTTGTCTCCTCTGAGGCTCATAGGCAATTTCTTCTGCCTGCTCTCCCTCCCTCATGCATCACCCACTCACTTCCCCTTTTCTTCCTGCAAACTCACAGCATATTCTCTTCCATAATTCATTATCTCAAGATGCACTTGAGCATCTCTTTATTTTTTTATTATTTTTACGCTTTCCTGATAGATGTATCAATATTTTAGCAGCTGGTGCCTTCCATGTGCGCTGCTCTTCTTGCCTGAGCCGCTTGCACAGCTCGCGGCGCGGGCCCGTGGCCCAGCCAGGCCACCTGCTTTGAGCTGCCCCTGTTGGGCCTGGGAATATCTGGGTCATGGCCTCCCTGTGGGCCGCAGAGGCAGGGACAGTTTGGGTTTAGCCATGGAGCAGGTGAGGTGCTTGGCTGCATCACTCTCAGGTCCCCCTTAGCTCTGGGTGCAGCTCTGGTTCTGTATGAAACGCTCCCTCGGGACGGCGGGGACTGCAGCGCAGCAGGACCGGCCTGGGCACGAGAGGCCACCTGAGATGTTGCCCTAAGAGCCTTTTCCCATTTTCCTGCTCGCTGGCGCAGTCCCATCTCACCATCTTCCCTCCAAACGCAGCTCGCTGACACAGTGAAACCCGTGACGGAGGGTGCCTGAGCCGTGCGCCGGGGAAGGAGGGTGATTCGGAGCGCAGGAGGGAGAGCTCTGCCTGAGCAGAACAAAGCGGGAAAGACACCAAGTTCCTGCACTTGTGTGAATTTCAAACCCTGCCTGGCTCTAGGGTTGCACAAATGCTTTCGTGGAAATACCTCGCTGAAGTGAAAACCTCCCCAGACCCCTGCCCCTGAGCAAGGTACCTGGCAGTGGCAGTGGGGGTTCAACTGTGTTGTAGGCTGAAGTGGGAGTGAAGAGAGTGACCTGAACTTCACAGTGCAGCCTTGTTTCAGGATTCCCTTCAGGTCTGAATAGAGAGGGGCTTTTCTCCATCAAAATGCTCCTTCCAGAGGCCATTGTTTATCAGGCAGCCTTACTTTATTTGGGGAACTAACCCTCTGTTGGGAATAACTTCTCTTCCAACACAAATGTTTTTTCCTAAGTGGTTTGCAGGCCGCAGTGTGAACTCCCAGTGTTCACAATAGCTGATACCCCTGTGACTTGTCTCTGCCCCTGGCAGAGTAAATGGAGCACGGTAGCGTGCACGTGGGCACTGCTGCGAGTCCACGTGGTGCCTGCAGCCTGCCACCACACTAAGGTGCCCTCTTGTCTTTTCCAGGTGTGTGAGAAAGAGAAATTGCTCTCAGAGAGGAACCAGCTGAAAGCCAGCATGGGAGAATTGCTAGATAACTTCTCGTGTCTTTCCCAAGAAGTGTGTAGAGACATGCAGAGCCCCGAGCAGATCCAGGCGCTCCACCGATACTGCCCCGTTCTCAGACCGATGGATCTGCAGACAGCCTCCAACATGAGCCCGGCGCCAGCGGGAGTGGAGCAGAGCCTGGTGGCATCGCAGCGCGTCGGGGAAGGCCTGCAGTGCTGCTCGGAGGCCGGCTCGGTGCCGCTCGGAGCGCCCTGGCTGCCCAACAACGTCTCGGAAAATTGCACGGCCGGCGCAGGCTTGGATGGAGCTGACCAAGGTACTTACCCCGAGAGAGAGCTTCCACTAGAGCAGAGTAGCCAGACGGTCACGGTGGACTTCTGTCAGGAAATGACTGATAAATGTACAACAGACGAACAGCCTAGGAAAGATTACACCTAGTGACTCGTAACCGTAACGTTACACCTGGTCAGGTGTTCTTCAGTCAGCCAGTGGCAGTGCTCATTCGTTGTCTAGAAGAACGTATTTGGTGCACACTACAGTGGTCTTAGCAGCAATACTGTTTTTAAGTATTCCCTCCTCTCTGCAAGCAGGAGTTATCTTCACAATGGTGCTATCCCTCGCTCAGGCAGGGAACTAAGCAGTGGCGACACTGTCTGTTTTTGTATGTTGATTTCAATCTTAACAGGGATGGACAGAACACCTCTGAGGACCCAACCGCAGCTTTTTTCTCAGTGGCCCATGTCACAAAACCCTAACTCAGGAATTTCCTCTGAATGTTCAATTTTTCATTGAAGACAGCTTCTTTACACATCAAAGTTTTATAGTTAAACTGTACATATTATATATAATATATATAAAATATATATATCCATATGCAAAAGTCCCTGCATGCCTCAATTTTTCTCATCCTACAAACTGGAAGCTTTCATTTATATTGTATAAACAAGTTCCAACATTCCTTTTTGTCTTTGATGCTAGAACTAGTTTGGTAACTTGTTACACAATTTTTTTTTTCTCGGTTCGCAGTTCAGCAATATCATTCAATTTGTACTTATTTATAAAATTTTAATGTTGGAAGCTTATTTGAGATTTTATTATAGACTTTTTTTTTTTTTTTTTTTTTTTTGGCACGGCCATTTCGTGCCGCTTGAGCAATGTGGATTTATTTTATTTTCTTGCAGATACTGTACAGTAATGGTCAACTTTGCCACTTGCACTGAGTTTCTGGTCAAACCTCTTTTCATAAATGAAGTTGTGACTTCAGTATAACTTGAGTATATGGTTTTCTTTGCTTTATGGCTTAAAGAAAATAGAAAGTTTTAGCTAATAGCCAAACACTCAGGAGATCATTATGTAGGAAAACAGTCTTGCCAAATACTGAATTCACTATACAATTTGTAAAGAGAATCTGCTTGAATTATTTTTGTATTCAGACTTCTTTCTGTTTCACATACCCAGCTTAAGTGCTGTTAATGACGCTTTTGGATTCCTGTAGGGTAGAGCATGTTTCGATCTTTAGAGAAAAGCGTTTGACACCTGGAGCAGCTCGTCCCGTGTTCCGCACGGTAACGTGAGTGGCGTCACCCTGGCAGCCCTGGGGGCGGCCCTGACCCTCTGCTAGGCCCGAGGCCTGCGGAGCGCGGCCTATAGAGCGTGGCCTAGGGAGTGCGGCCTGTGGAGCGCGGCCTATGGAGCACGGCCTGCGCAGGTCCGCGCTCCGGCCTTGGCAGGGAGCTTGCGGGATGCGCCCTCAATGGCGGCGCGGGTTTCCTCAGAGCGAGCCGAGCGCCCGGGCTCGTTGCTTGCCCTTCCGACTGTTGCCCTCCAGGACGCCCTCGTCCTACAGCACTGCCCTCCGCACAGGCTGCAGCCAGAGGAGCGCTGTCTCAAAGGAGACCACTCAGTGAATTGGCTTAGTTGTCACTGTACTGGATTTGTGTCTTAAGCGATGTTGACTCATGTTCTGACTGTGTGAGACAGCAGCTTGCCGAGCATAGCATCTGTGTGTACAGCGTAGACAGGAAAACATCCTCCTAGTGCTTTTCTAATAGGTATTATTATATAAGTGTATCGAGTTTTTGTTTTGTGGCTCTTGGCCGCACGTGTGCCAGGCCTGCGCGTGGCCTCGCGCTGGGCGGCCCCTGCCACGTGCGTTGCCTGCCCGACACCCTTGGCTCTTGCTGAGCAGAAGCGACCGGCTCTTCACGGCCGTTCAAAGAAAGCAGGCCGAGGCGACGGGGCGCGAGGGCGCTTCTCCGAAGCACCGAGCGGCCGCCTGGGTTTCCGCGCTGACGTTTACACTCGAGGGGTGTTTGCTGGGGCTTGCTGGAGGCACTCGCGCTAGCTCAGCGCCTTCGGCTCGGAGGAGGAATCAGCTCCCTCCCTCCGCTTGTCCCCGCTGCGGCCGTGCTCGTGAGCGGAGCGTCGCCGCTCGCCGCGGCCCCCGGCCGAGCTGCCCCGGGGCGGACGCATCCAGCATGCGCCATGTTTGTTGGAAACGCGTTTCCCCCCCCCTGCATGTACAAAGAGAAGCTAGTATATGATGTAGGAGCATATTTATGTTTAAGTATTAATCGTTACTGTACAAAATCCTTACCGTTCGATGTTCAAAGATATACAAATGCCATAAACTCCTAGTTGGCAAGGTTGAAAACGGCGGGAGGAGTCGTCCTTGCTTTCTGAAAGCTCTTAAACTAACTGTATTTGAAGGCCCTCCCAGCCGTCTATCTTTTGCAGGTAACTGACTGAGAAGCTCTTTTGGGGAGAATTTGATTTTCCTTTGAGTCCATTGACGTTGCAAAGCAGTTTGGTGCTTCGCAGAGAAGTTTTGTTTCTATGAGACCATGGTGAAAGCTAGAATTTAAACCTAAATGTGAATCACATTATAGAGTCATAGCTACTTGGGAGGGCAATGGGGGGGAGGGAGGGAAGGGTCAACTGACACAGTATTTTAAAGATGTTTTTTGTTGCCTTTTTTTTATTTTAAGTGACCTCCTATATATATATGAATAGATAGAATGTTTTATGAGTGTAAAACCGAGTTTTAACTTGCTTCCTGACATGAAGATTTACTCTGCTAACAACTCATGTGCAACTGGTACTCTTGACCTCATTCCAATGGTTTAAAAAACCCACCCACACAACCCATTGCGCTGCAGCTCTTAGGTTTGACCTGGCTCCCTGCTGCTGCTGGGTCGCTTGATTTCCTCTTTCATGGGAACTGATATTGAAAACCACTGCTCAAATAAGTGTCTCTTTCTCAGTCTTTCTCTCGCTTTTCTCTTTCCTTCTCCCAGGAGTTTTTCTGAATGTTTGATTTCATTCTTGCCCATTGGAAATGGCGGATTGTCATTGCTTCCTATATTTACATGTATCCTGGGTTTTCAGTGTTGTTTTTTTTTTTTGGTGGTGGTGACTGTTTTTTTGTTGCTGTTTTGTTTTGAGGTTTCTTTTACTCTGCTGAACCACGCGTCTCTCAGAGCTGTTCCTAGGCTAAAGGGAAACAGGGAGAACTAGCTCAGACCTGGACGTGAGCTGACAACCACAACAAAACGACTAACCAAAACAATATCATTTAAAATATATATATATATATGTGGAAAAAAAAGAAACAGCTGACTGCAATATTTATTACATTTAAGAGTTTGGTTGGTGGTCACCATGCTCATTCTTTAAGCAAACATCTCTTTGCTTTGGTCAAAGAGGAGTCGCGCAGCGTCCGCGCGGTTCACCGTAGCATGGGACCCGTATCCCTGCTCCCTGGGCATGGGAGGCCTGGAGCTCTGTCCAGTCTGTACCTAGTCCTCCTTTTCCTTGGCGATGGCGATATCTGTACCACCAGAAAACCTCATTTCCTTTAGGCTTGTTATTCTTTGTCGGGTGAGTACTACACTATATGATGTGTTTGTTTCTCTGCGTTCTCTGGGGGTGCCTTGGACACAATTAAAGCTCGTTGCAAGCTGATTCTGGAACAAAGAGGTAGTGCAAAAATGGGGAAAAAAAAAGAAAACAAACCATGAAACAAGCAAAACAAAAGCAAAACTGTTGGCTGTGTTAGCGGGACATCCCGGTATTTATATCACAGACTTCCTAACGTGTGATGACTCAGGCGTCAGAGTTTGATGCTGCAGTATAAGACTATTATTTTATATATTGTGCAAGTAATTTATTAAATGTCTTTCTAAGGTATATGCTGCTTTTAAGATGCACTATATTTTTGGATCTAATCCTTGTATTGTTTTTTTCCCAAGGAAGTAAAATGTGCTGCAAAGGCAAGCCACAGTGATTAGTATGCTAACTGCTACTTCTCTTTGAAAAGGAGAGTGGGAACTAGATAAATAACTTTTCTAAATGGAGTAACTGCTGCCAGAGAAATGAGTAGTGCTGATAGTGGGGTTGTTGATCTGGAGTTCAACACTTGGTCAAGTCAGTATTAGAAGGAGCACTTAAATAGAAATTAAAAAGCATAGATAGTACCATTAGGGTTTTTAGTATGTATTTTTATGACTGCCTAATGAAACAACAAATGTGCATGCCAGAATCAATATAATCCTGTAATAAAAAAGTAGGATCCGCTCGGAGAGAGCATGATGAAACGCTGTAATTCCTGAAGCAACAGAGCATCCTCATGGGTGTCATGCAGTCCACTACTGTGGCTGTTACAAAAAGGAAGGGAGGGTTTTCGGAGCAGAACCCCGGCGGGTTCTGCAGTGAGACAAAAGCAAACATCTGCCAGGCTCACACAAGCTGGCGTTTTGATCTACTTCATATCCTCCTGCTTCCACTTGTTTTTTCCTCATTCACAGAGTATTTGGCGGTGGCTTCAGGTGGATGTTGTAGTCTATGTTTGCAGCATTTTAAAAGTGTATAATTTAGGTCTGTCTAGAGGGGGCTTAGGAGCAGCGGCGCTGGTGGCCTTTGCGTAAGGAGAGGATCTGCGGAGCCGAGTGGCTTATTTGTGTCGAAAGTGAGGTGAAACTAAAGTCATGAACACACAGAACCTGCCCATGTCCTGTTTCATGCTAGGACTTTTCTCAACACCTTCTGACTTCATTGCAGTCTTGTCTCTGCCAACACAGCCCAAGTTAGTTTTATATACATATATATATATACATGTATGTATGTATACATACATATATAATTCTAGTCAGAGTGTGTGTTTGTGTATTTTCCTGTTTATAATACATATATGTATATTTATAATACTCCTTGGAGTATTTTATGACTCAGGCATCAGATCTGATGCTGCAGAATACGATATATGTGTATATGCATATGTTCAAATACTGTGTGTATATTTAAAAGATTATTGTTGGTGGTCTGTAGAGTAATTATTCTCTTTACATTCAAAAGTTTTAATGGCATTACCTGCAAAGACAAAGTGTACAGTATTTTCCTACACTCCACCAAGATAGGTATTATTTATATCAAATGCAAAG